CAAATTTTTTTCTAAAAATATGTCGACGTTCGTGACGTCGAGTAGGTCACTGTGGTATATTCATATACCCAAATTGAGCACCGTATGAGAAGTTATTTCGAATTGTCGGTTATGTGCTTTAATTAATGTTTTTATAGTTGTTTCGCATATAGGTGACACCTATCCCGAGGACGAGCGCATCCAGGGACGTCACAGGGGTTACGACCCATCGACTTACCAGTGAGTGGGCAGTTGTTTTCTATTTATACTTATATACTATTGATTTTTCATAGAAATTGAATTTAAATGAAAGTATGTTTTAAAATGCCATGCATGCATATTGTGAATTATATGAATTGATATTTGATGCATATATATATATATATATATATATGTGAATTGGTGCTGTGGACGCACATGTGTGGGTATCGGGTGAGGTTTCTGTTATTCATGTGAATTATTGATGATGTGAATTGTGTTGAGAGCTCATAACCTGCACCCCTGGTGCTAGTGCTTATAGTATTCACCGCACCGCACGTTCACCTTGGATCCAAGTAGGTGCATGTCGTACAGACCATGAGAAGGTTCCGACATGCTAGTCGTACAGATCACTAGAGGTGGTTCCAACTGGTAGGTGACCTTAGATTATGCGCGCAGACGATTAATGAGAGAAGCACTAAAGCGTATTATTTCACCATTCTTGTCGTACAGACTACTTCAGGTAGTTCCGACTTATGAGTAGCGCCGTACAGGTCACCGTGGTGACTCCGGCTGGATTGGATATTGAGCTATAGAATTAACCTTACAGGACCAACTGCAGGGTCTCCGGTTTATTCATTATGTCACCTGTTACATTGATGCATCCATATTCTGTCATTGACATTATTGCATGGCATACTTGCTGGATTTTGGTAAAGATTAATGTTTTGAGAGATTTGAACAAATTTTATGCTATTATGTTATTTTCTGGGAAAGTATACAGGTTTTACAGTGAGGGGTTAGAAATGTTTTAAATGAAATGTTTTGGAAAACTTTGGTTTTACTGACCCACTCAATTTTGTTTTGCGCCCCTCCAGGTTCTAGTTAGCAGTTGGTTGCTCATGAGGTTTTCTTCGGCGTTCTGACAGACTTCCTGCATGTAGGACTCACCTGCGGGTGTTGTAATTTAATTATAGTCCTACTTGACTGCACCTAGTATTTATGCTCTGAAATTGTGTACTGCACACTTAAACTCACTCTAGCATGCTAGTTGGTTATTATTGCTAGTAGTTGGTTTTTTTATTTCTTCATATTTCTCATATCTTTTGCTTCCGCATCGCACTTTTGGTTACGTCACGCTCACGTGGCGGCCAGCACGCCTTGATTTTAGGATCGGGGCGTGTCACTTTGCGCGATAAAATTTGTCGCGTCTTAAAAAAATAAAATTTCCCATATTCCATTTTTGGCGCCCCCCCAAATTTTTAGGGGTTTGCGCAACAAAATTTTGGTCACGCAGAGTTTTGCACAATGAAAGATTCGTCGCGCAAAGTCTAAATATTTTTTTTTAAATTTCCCATGTCCCATTTTTGGCGCCCATCCAAATTTAAGGATTTTGCACGACGAAATATATGTTTGTCGCACAAAATTTTTTTAAATTTTTTTATAAATAATAAAAAACAAAATAATTTTATTTTACAATTTAAAATATAAATAAATTAAAATAAATAGAGTTTAGGTGACCAAATGTTGATTTGTCACGCAAAGAAAATAATTTAGTTTAACAATATAAAATATAAAATTAAATAAAAAGCAAATAAATAGGATTTAGGCGACGAAATATTGATATTCGTCGCACAAAGTTTTTAAAAAATAATAAAAACTTATGAAAATAATTATAGTTTAAAATTTATAATATAAAATTAAATAAAAAAGAAAATAAATTGGTTTAGGCGACGAAATCTATTTCGTCGCGCAAAGGTTTTTAAAAAATAATTTTTTATGTTTGTAAAGACTTTGCGCGACGAATTTTAAAATTTTGTCGCGCAAAGTCTAAATTTTTTTTTTTAAAATTTCCCATGTCCCATTTTTGGCGCCCATCCAAATTTAAGGATTTTGCACGACGAAATATATGTTTGTCGCACAATTTTTTTTAAAATTTTTTTATAAATAATAAAAAACAAAATAATTTTATTTTACAATTTAAAATATAAATAAATTAAAATAAATAGAGTTTAGGTGACCAAATGTTGATTTGTCACGCAAAGAAAATAATTTAGCTTAACAATATAAAATATAAAATTAAATAAAAAGCAAATAAATAGGATTTAGGCGACGAAATATTGATATTCGTCGCACAAAGTTTTTAAAAAATAATAAAAACTTATGAAAATAATTATAGTTTAAAATTTATAATATAAAATTAAATAAAAAAGAAAATAAATTGGTTTAGGCGACGAAATATTAGATTTCGTCGCGCAAAGGATTTTAAAAAATAATTTTTTATGTTTGTAAAGACTTTCTGCGACGAATTTTAAAATTTCGTCGCGCAAAGTCTAAATTTTTTTTTTAAAATTTCCCATGTCCCATTTTTGGCGCCCATCCAAATTTAAGGATTTTGCACGACGAAATATATGTTTGTCGCACAATTTTTTTTTAATTTTTTTTAAATTTTTTTTATAAATAATAAAAAACAAAATAATTTTATTTTACAATTTAAAATATAAATAAATTAAAATAAATAGAGTTTAGGCGACCAAATGTTGATTTGTCACGCAAAGAAAATAATTTAGCTTAACAATATAAAATATAAAATTAAATAAAAAGCAAATAAATAGGATTTAGGCGACGAAATATTGATATTCGTCACACAAAGTTTTTAAAAAATAATAAAAACTTATGAAAATAATTATAGTTTAAAATTTATAATATAAAATTAAATAAAAAAGAAAATAAATTGGTTTAGGCGACGAAATATTAGATTTCGTCGCGCAAAGGTTTTTAAAAAATAATTTTTTATGTTTGTAAAGACTTTGTGCGACGAATTTTAAAATTTTGTCACGCAAAGTGACTTTGAGCAATGATGTTTGTTTCGTCGCTTAAAATTTTGTTGCGCAAAGTGACTATGCGCGACGATGTGTGTTTTGTTGCGCAAGGAGTTTTTTTTACTAGTGAAACCACTCTAAATATACATCAAGAGTCAAAGAATATCTTGCTAACTTAACTATTTTCAACACCACCATTACCATCAAGTCATACAAAAAAGTTTATGTTTACGGGATTACGCTTCAAACGCAGTTTCTGTATATTATTAGGTAAACGACATCAGCAATCAGCATCATCTTCTCCATCCTGGTTAATTGTTCTATCAGAAACGAAATTGTTTCAGAAGTTGAGACAGATAAAAATGTACTGATATTGAAGACGGATATGATACTATATGTTTCGTCGCAAGCACAAGCCTGCTCCCAGGAGGACTATGGTCTTGAAATTACAAGACCTCGAGAAGGCCTTGGTACGTAGGGCAGGTCATCGTCTTAGGATTGTAAGATTTTCTGTGCATAATATTCTTGATGAATATAATTTCCTTCTAGCTACTAGTTAATTGTCAACACTAAAACTAATTAATCAAGAGATAGAAATCTAATCAGAAAGCTTGTGTTGGATGGGTTAATTAAGACAGCATAGGGACAGCGGTAGTGGACCAGTGTTAGTTGGATGAAGGGCAAGATGCATGTGATATATATGCACTAGAGCCTCTGTAATTATGTTTTAAGTTTGAAATGGAAGGGGATTATGTCCAACACAAAAGCTGCAAGTGTTATTAATTCACACATGTTACAACATATGTATTTATTTATTACTATTAATTAGATTTTCAGCTATAATATCAATCATGTCGTCTAATTACTTCACAACTCGTGAATTAGTACAATTACATAACATTATGGCCATCAAACGCAAATATTTTTCTTAGTGGTGCTGGTATGGAGTAACAAGTGTGGCAGATTCACTATATACTAATGCAGCTAGCCAATATCTAGATAGCATGATCTTCAAAATAATATTAACACCTACTTTGTTATGAATTAAAAACAATGATGTCAGTGACTGAGATACAGAAACGCACTTTCTTACTCGGCCTTTTTCTCTGATAATGATTTTAGCTGGTTGGAAAGCCACTGACCTTTGTGTATATGCACTCCAAAATTTGTAGGGTTTCTGTGGACAGCAGTCACCATCCCATTAAGAAAATGGTCACACCGGCAAAAGGCAAAACTTACAGTACTGGGTACTGCCAAATGCACTGCTGATCATATATTCCTACAGTTCAGGTGGGTATATATGATCATAAAACTTTTAAACAAAATATTAATGCGCCTACACTAATAATATTGTAGTATCTGATATTGGCTAATAGTGATATCGTGATATTGTGGTGATGTGGTCCTGTTGTTGCAAGGTATCACAATTTGTGTGGACCCCTACGCATCATGGGGTCCTACACCCAACTAAGCCTTGCAGTACTATTTCTTTTTAAAACATTTATTTAAATTTTTAAATTGCTTCTCGAGTCTCTTTTACGTGTCAAATTACAGTTTAATACATATTGAAATAATTTATTAATTAGGGTTTTTTCTATTTTATTGAGTATGCTTTGCATCTAAAAAAAAAAAAACACAAAGATCCTCTTTTATACACATTTTAAAATGCGATCGATAGGTAAATGGAAATGACTAGTTACATCAAGGAAGGAGCCAATTATTTCCTTGTTTCTCCATATACCTTTAACACCCCTCATTTGCCTGTTTTGTTATAAATGAGTGGGCTAGCAGGGCAGAGAAGTGCAGAAGAGTGTCTCAGCTGATTCACCGTTTTGATTAAGATCACTTTTCCCTCTCTCTCTCTCTAACCTAATGAGCTTGTTTGTGAGAAGGGTAGCTCTAGGTAGCTCTAGGTAGCTAGCTAGCTAGCTCGTAGTGCCGTCCTCTCAGTCGAGTGTTGAGGAAATTCTAAAATATATATGAGAAAGGTGAGTTGAGCAAGATGGAGAAGCAGGGCACGTGCATTTCTAACTCATTCGATCGCGTATACTGAGATATATATGTATATGTATGTATGCTTTTTATTTAGCAGCTGGGAATTTATTACAAGTTTATATGTGTGTCTCATATCCAGTGATGAGTTAGTTGTTCATGTGCCCCTCTTCCCCATCATGACCACTCCACCTTGTTGCTTCCATGAAGATTGTTACCGTGGATCATAACCATGCAGACATTTCAATTCAGGTGTTCAATAATGCTGAATAATTAGCTCCACTTCAGGTGATCGTTTTCGCTGCATTTTCTTAATTATATATGTAAATACACTTAGCTTGATATTTTTGAATTTCCAAATTGGATAAAGAACTTGCAATGCTAATTAATAGTATTACCTGTAAGGATAAAGAGGTCAAGAAATCTTAATGTGTTTCTGCAGTGTTCATAGGTTTGAAATGGTGCTCCAATAAATTTTCAACAAAATTCGTGGCAAATTATATTGAACTTTAACTTCAGTATTTTTGGTATTTTGTTTTGGTTTCCAATTGCTCTCTCTCTCTCTCTCTCTCTCCCTCTCTCTCTCTCTCTGATCTTATATTGAACTTTAACTTCAGTATTTTTGGTATTTTTTTGGTTTCCAATTGCTCTCTCTCCTCCTCTTCTCTCTCTTCTCTCTGATCTTATATTGAACTTTAACTTCAGTATTTGGGTTTTTTTGGTTTTTTGCTCTCTCTCTCTCTCTCTCTCTCTCCTCTCTCTCTCTCTCCTCTTCTCTCTCTCTCTTTCTCTCTCTCTCCCTCTCTCTCTCCCCCCTCCCTCTCTCTCTCTCTGATCTAGATTTATTTCGGTATGTGGTAAATATGCAGATGATAAATTGATAATCACTGTATGAAGAAGAATGCTATCTGGGTTACCTTTGTGTTACGATCATAAGATTAGTGCAGCAACCATTTTCATATAATTAAGGGCATAAGCAACCATGAAGCTCAATAATTTCCCTATTTTCTTTTTCTTTTTTGAAGGATTAGCAACTTGTTAGATATGTAATACTAAAAAAATCTAAAATTTAAATAATACAGGAACTAAATTAATATTATGTACCCTTAATTCTGATAAACACTAACTGTTTTTTTTACATAAAAATTCATCCAAAGTGGTATTGATAAAAGAGCAATTGCTTTTTAGGTTTTCATTTGTCCCCCTAGCTAGTATGAGGAGGAAAGTTTTCCAATCGTGGAAGTAAATAATGCTTTTGAAAAGCAAGCAACCCCGTCAAGGTCTTACCATAATTGCTATGAACATCATTTTTATAACAATGATATATTTGGACAGTATGAAGTGTGATTACCATTAATCCTTTTCACTTTCTCACTAATTAACCTTTTCTTTTCGTTTCTTAATTTCTGGCATCCTTCATATTGCTCCTGTTGTCATTCTTGTGCGGATACTGATCGAGGTAAGTCAACATATTATGAGGGACTTTCCTGCAACGGTGATATGCTCTTTTTTATGTCTAAATGACAAAGAGGGACTTGCCTGCAATAGAATTTTAAAATTATGAGTAGGGACTTGCTTACAATGGAGATATACTTTTTGTGGTATTCCTTTTACGTTGTCTTTCTCACTTTTATGTGATTACAAGATAACGATGAGTGAGAAAGACACGTAAGGGCTATTATATCACCGTCGCAGGTAGGTCCCTCTTCGTCTTAACGACAAGACAATGAGATGCTTCTACCTAACTAGTCCAACTCTACTTCATGGTTTTGCAAGAGGGGGCTATAGGATGTGTGGTTTGTGTTGGTGAATGAATGAGGTTTGAGTGTAATTTGTGTTTGTAGAAAGTGGTTGAAGCGTGGTTCATATGTATATATTGTGCGATTTTTCATACTTTATCGCAATTTAAATATTTTTAAGTAAAAATGTTCACATAATAAAGTGCAATTAATGCAAACAAATATTTTTGGTATTTCAAAAATCTCATTTGGCACTCCAAATTTTTTGTAATTGGAAAGAAAAATACACTTGTAAGGAGTGTAGAATGAGATTTTTTAAGTGCTAATAGCAGTTCCCATAATTTTTTAAATTAACGGAAAGAAAAAATTAAGGTAAAACGATATTAACAATTTTTAACCTAAAATTTAGGTCATACCATTAGAGAAAAAAATACAGTTTCTAGCTAAATCTAAAAGCCAAATTCCAAAATTTGTGTTGGCCTTAAACTAACCATTGGAGTTGGTCCTATCGGTGAATCCTACCCCCTTTAAATTAAATTGGAAACATGGTACCACCACCAAGGAAACACCACAACATCTGTCTCTATTCCTTCTCATCCACGTCCGACTGACAGCGATTTGCAACACAAATGCATCCATAGCTTCTTGATATGTTTCTAATCCAACTTTTTAACAGTGTAGTTAATCTCTGCTTCGTGGTTTAATAGCTGATTAACTTCAAGTTAATTCAGTTCGTGAGAGTGTGACTGCAGATTTTTTTGCTCTTCCCTGCAAATAAGTAGCCCTGTTCACACCGACAAAACTTTTCATGTTTTGGAAAGGCGACAAACAGCGATCTTTGGATGCTTCAATGATTTGATTTCACTGGAAAAAAAAAAAAAGTGCAAAGCCAGAAAAATCTGATTATTTTATCTCTTTTATTTGTTGGTTTTTTATGTTTAAAGTAAATGGCTACTATTTTTCCCACACAAAGCAAGATAAGATGGCACTTTTATCTTTTTTCTCTCAAAAGTTTTCAATACCTTGACTTCAAAACTCACATTATGAATTGAAGGGAAGTAGGCGATGAGGTTTTGCTTCCGCATGAGTGACATCGTGGCTTAATTTTGGCTCAAAAGAACTACACAGTCGAACTGCTTGGATTGAGTGATCGAGGACAGTTGACAACAGTCAAGTATTTGTTGGTATCAAGTGTCTGTAGGTCGTACCCAGTGCACAAGGCTCCCGCTTTACGCAGGGTCTGGGAGAGGTGAATGTCGGCTAGCCTTACCCCCATTTTATGGAGAGGCTGCTCCCAAATCAAGTGTCTGTAGGTACTCAAGGAAAATTAAAATGGTTGCATTTCGACTTTAAGGACAAGCAAGGGACCAACCAGTATCATATATACCGAAATCGAGACTGGAAGTACCAATATATCTACCGAAATCGAAACTTAAATACTTAGTTCTAGAGAGTTGCAAAGCATAGCATATTGTCTAACAATCCAAGCACTGAGAAAGAATAAAAATAAAAATAAACCTCAAACTTATAAAGCATGGGTAATTTTGAAGAGTTTAAAAGAATAATTTCATTGCTCTTTTGCAGAAATTGTCATCATCTAATATGTAAAAGAAAGGTATCAACTCAAAGGTAATGCTTCTGGTAAAGAAAAAACCAAGAACAAGAGTACACCAGCATAGCAAGTACGACAGAAGATTCTAGGTTGGTACAAATGCATATACAGTTTTATGCCAAACATTCTCGGACGAAGAAATGGACAAAAGACCGGCACAAGTACAGCACGACGTGCCAGGCTCGGTTGCCTCTCTTAAGCAAAAGATTAGAAGTAAAGGAATCTGATGCACATGGATGCAGCTAACTTATGCTTCAGCCTTGCATTGTGCTGGTGAAGTCAATCAACTGTCGCTGTGGATTCTATATGGTACAAACAACTAATGGTAAATGTATAACAAAGAGATGCACAACTTACTGGTCCTCTGTTAGTGCTATAAAGTGCTATAATTGGCCCCACCAAACCAGTCCAAATAGTCTCTTTCAAATCGGGTTTGGATCCTGAGCTAAGAAGCAGTGCTTCCCGAGCCTTTTCTCTGGGAGCAACGTTCTTGTCAACCATTTTCTTCAGCAATTCCATTGCTTTACAAACCAAACCCCTTGGCCACAACCCGTAAATTACCTCACTGAATGAGGAACAAAAACGAATGAGAACCTTATCTAACATTGCTTCCACAAAGACACAAGCTTCATCAACATCTCCTTTGCACAATAGACCATCCAACATAACCCTAACTCTCTTGCTCTACTAAGCTCCCCGTTTTTGCATAATGCCTTTACCAAGATGTTATAAGTAAACGAATTAGGCTTGCACCCCAGCTCTCCAGACACGAAATCATGTTTAATCATGCCTCCATATTGTTCTGATTGCACAAACCATGATAGACAATGCCCTTTGACGATGGGATTTGTCTACTTTGTTTTTTCCCTTGCATCTTTTTTACTCTTACTTTTTTGCTACTCCGAGGGACTTGCAATTTAAATATACCTGGTAAGTATAAACATCAGATGCACTGTTTACTGGTGATCCAAGTCAGTGCGCCATCACCTATGGAAGTGCTACTATTGGCTCCACCAAACCCGTCCAAGTAGTCTCCTCTAAGCTGGGTTCAGATCCTGAGCTAAGGAGCAGTGCTTCCCAAGCCTTTGATCTGGGAGCAACGTTCTTGGCAACCATTTTCTTCAGCAATTCCATTGCTTTACAAACCAAACCCCTTTGGCACAACCCATAAATCACCTTATCGAATGAGGAACAAAAATGAACAATAACCTTATCTAACATTTCTTCCATAAAGACACAAGCTTCCTCAATGTCTCCTTTGCCAAACAGACCATCCAGCATAATCCTATAAGTCTGCAAGTTTACCCCAACACCGTTTAACGTCATCTCACGCATAAGATTTCTAGCCCTCCTAAGCTCCCCACTGTTACAAATTGCCTTCAGCAAGATGTTATAAGTAATCAAATTAGGCTTGCACCCCAACTCTTCCATAGAAGTAATCATCATCAATCCCGATTGAACTTTATTCTGCTTACACAAACCACTTATATACACATTGTAGGTATAAACATCCGGAACCAAACCCAACACAAGCAGCTCATCAAAAACCTGATCCGCCTTCTTGAAATCCCCTTCCGCGATAAAGCCATGTAAGACCATGGTATAACAAACAATGTCAGGCTTAATTCCTTCCTCCTTCATCTTAACCAACACATTCAAGGCATCCAAACCCCTCCCCTGTTTCACCATAACCCTAATCACATTGGAATAGTCCATCATCCCAGGACAAAACCCAAGTATCTGCATTTCTCCCATAAACCCCATAACATCAACACACTCTGAATCCTTTTGTTCACACAATGATAACAATATCAAACCGCAAATCTTCACATTCAAACCATAACCATTATTCATCATACAATTCATAATCTCAATAGCATATCCAACCTTCCCAATTCCACACAAAGCACTGACCAAAATCCAAAAACTCGATTCTTCGAGCCGGATGCCCATTACGTGGCTCCTGAGCAAAATCTCGGGAACCAATTTAAGACCTTCACAGGACCCACAAAGCACATACAACAATGCATTGAGAGAGTGAGCAGAAGGGACACACCTGAACTTGGGAATTCTGTAAAACAGATCAATTGCGTCCTGGGTTCTGCTCCAACGGCCATAAAAACAGATTAGATGGGAAAAAATGTGCTCCGGCGTGTCGAACTTTTCGACTTTTTCGAGCTGGCAGAGAACCGGAACGATGTGGTCGAACTGGGAGGTTTTGGTGAGGGTTTTGAGGACAAAGTGGTAGGCTTCCGGGGTTGGGTCGACGTTGTAGGTTTTAAAGGAGTAATGAGCGTCGGAAGAAGGTGGCAGGGTGGCGGCAATGATTTTTTGAGGCTTTGGAAGGCTTGGTTTTGGTTGAAGATTTGTTGCCATCTGGTGTTGTACGGCGAGACCGGCCATTTCCTGTGCTTTCTCAGGAAGAATTTGCTACTGGGTTTTAGTGCAGATGCTCTCACCATTTTTTATTCGATTTGAAACTCGGATTGTTTGGGTTCATCTGTTTGTTTCAGGTGGGAAATACTCGTTGGGATATATCGGTTTCTGCAGCTTCTTGCAGGGAACACGACGACCAAAAACGACATGTAGTATTTTGGGCATATTAACGGGCTGGAATAATGGTCCATTGGGTTTTTACTTTTAAATTTTTTTTTATGTCGAACAATTTTGGTAAAAAGAAAAGAGAACTAAAAAGACTCGATTTATTCGGTTTGGTTCGGTTCTATTTATGATTTTGGATTTTCATTTTTCCATGCATAATTTATATGCAACTGATCTCTAATGATCAATCAACCCTGGCTATCGATCAATTTATGGTTTTGCAGAATGTTAGTGTCGGTCAATCAATTATATTGTGTCGATAACTTGATTGTAATGTGTCATTGCAATTAATTATTCAAATTTCGCAACTATCACGTGTTGAAGATAACCTCTTTTGTTCTAGTGACCTTTCGATTTAAATTTCGCAACTAATTATTGGCTATTAAATGTTAAAACAACATTTGGGATCAAAGTTGAAAACTGGAAGCTGGAAGATACCTCAAAATTTACGTGAGACCAAATCATGGTAAGCAGTACAAGAAAAGAGAAAAGTCATGGTATGTAGTATTCATCAAAACTTAAAATATTAATAGACAACAAGCGTGTACAAGTTAAGATATGATACTAGGGTTTAGGTAAGAAACGGGTCAAAAAGTTACTAGATAAAATGTCGTTTCAAACAATCATTCTCAGTTCATGGAGCTTGTTTATATCGTCTTGCACAAAAATTGGTTGAGGCGAATAGGAATAGACAATATCCTTTGGTATACTTGCTTGTGACTTTAGCATTGATTTACACATTACGACTATTTTGGTGAATTTTTTTTTTCAATAATTTGAGAAAGATATACAATTTTACTAATATTAATATTGTAGTACGATATTTCTAATATATGAGAGCATGTTATTGCTGATAACTATAAATGAAAGTATGGTATATCTTTGGAAGCTTTTTATTTTGATCCCGTTTTTGTAAGTTCATGGCTCCGCCACATCTCATCATAGTTTAAGAACCTTAACACATGTTCAATGTGTTAATCAACCATGTTTTTAGGACGTCTTCGTACAGCTGTAGAGGAAACTTCACTACAATTTAGGTTTTGTTCAACACGCTAGTATGCATATTATCATGAGACCAAGTCGTGGTATGCAACATGGATTACGACTTTATATTTGACGGTAGAACCAAAACCTTGGATTTCCTACCCTATATCTATATAATGCTGCTTTAAACTTTATCACCAACAAAACAAAGTCTTTTTGTTGAGTTTGCCATATTCTGATTGACTAGTCAATATACGAAATACGTTTTGGTATAAGCATATAACCGTCCGCAGTGCCAAGATTGTCTTTCCATAAATAAAAAACCACGACATCGAACATTTCTATGATCATGAAACAAGCAGAACCTAGCGCACCATCGTTAGCATCTGCTAACCCGGATCCCGGATCAGCAGCGCATGCTAATCCCACCGCCCCGATCGTCAGCCCTCACTTTTGCAGTCCTAACCCTGTGGTTATTGAAATTGTCAGAAAAGTTCGAACCATAACAGGTGACAAATTTGTAGTCGCTGATGTCAATGGTAACATGATTTTTAAAGTTAAAGAAGCTCATTTCAGCTTTCATGATCACCGAGTCTTGCTTGATGCTGCCGGACATCCTATTATCACTCTAAGAAGGAAGGTAAGAACATAAAACTCATTGATATATTATGTAGCTCTTGAACTTTAACTATTGTTTGTGAATTAAAGTCTCAGTTCATAACGTAATGTTGCTAGTTAGTGAATGTAAACCATATATTCTGACACGAATCAGCTTCATTAATAATTCTGACAATATGATAGTTTAACGAGATAATACTTTTGTTAGTTTATATACTAATTCTATTGCACTTAACCAACTTTTTTTTTATATTCTCAAATAAATAATGCATGTAGTCTAATATTTTAGTGGATAGAGTGTTGGGTTTCTATGAATGCGTTTCGGTTCAAAACTCTCATTCCTCTAATTATTGTAATAATTTCGAACTCTCCCCCTAATAATTAATAGTAAAAAAAAAAAAAGTATTCTCAAATAAATAAATAAACTAACTTATTGGTATGTTTTTTGTATAGTTCAACACTGCACATGAAAGATGGCAAGTTTTCAGGGGGGATAGCAAAGACTCAAGGGATCTGATTTTTAGTGCTAAGAGATCTTCAATGTTCCAATTGAAGGCCAAGTTGGATGTTTTCTTAGCACAAAACATAACAGAGAATGTACCTGACTTCAAGGTCAAAGGAAATTGGTCTGAACGATCTTGTGTCATACATGCTGGGGACTCCTCAACCATGCTTGCCCAAGTAAGCTTTCATCAATTTTATATTCAGCCATAATATCTTATAATTAACATAATTAAGCAATCAGAAGCTTAGTTTGTTTCTTCAGAAACTTAATTTCTCCACAAGTACTGACTGGGATAAATATGTTATGGGGAAAATTGCAGATGCATAAGAAGCACACAGTTACACCCGTGTCATTTGGCAAGAACAATTTCACGGTGACAGTGTATTCGGGGATTGACTACGCATTCATTGTCGCGCTTATTGCAATTTTTTGTGAGATTAACACTCCCTCGAGCTCGGGCTCAAGCGTCGGGGTGACTGATTTGCATGGATTTACTACCTCTTAATTAGGAAATGATGCATCTTTATCCTTTGGCTTTGTGCTTTGTTTGGGCCTTGCCCTTGTTTCTATTTCATTAATCATTTCTAACAATACATAGGTGTCGATTTATTATAAAACTCCGGTGACCAAGAAAATGATCTGGAGATGAATTTGCTCAAACAAGACAACAATAGTGAACCTCTAAATAGCTACCACATATACAAAAGCTTCACACATCACCCATACAAACTATCATAAGACAATAGGTATAACAAACTTGTATCGGCAACTGCAAAAGGTCATCGCTGAATAACGAGGTCACATAAAATCATTCCGGAAACGAGACCACATAAGATCATTGTAGCTAGACGAGACCACATAATACATCGCTCATGCGAAAACCATATCTAGTCATCATTGCAAAACGGCCACAACAGAACTAACTAAGCAAAACTAAATTAAACTACGCTTAAACAAACTAAACCAAACTACTCCAAACTGTTGGAAATTTAAATAGTTTGAGTAGACATTTCATTGTCCCACATTGGCCATTCCCAAAAGATTTTATCACTTTATAAGGCTTTGTCCTTTATAGAAAGTGATTGGAGTAATAGGCCTGAAGACTAAAATTGGGCTCACCCTTGGGGCTGGGCTTTGGAGTGCATTAATTAATTGGTAATTAATATATAATTAATTATCAAAAGATGGGCTCTAATAATTAAATTATTTAATTAATTATTTTTCGGATTTAATTAATTATTTTTTAAAATTCGAATTTGAAGTCTGAGAGTTCTTTCTGAACACAGAGCAAAGCACCCCTTGAAGAGAAGTCTCTCAACAGTCACACCCCATTCTCATACCTGTTGCAAACAAGCATCCATCTGCTATATATACATACATCTGCATGGCATTTAGTAGACAGAAAATAATCAACTTCATCTTCTACGTTCCTAAACCTCTTACTGAGAGAACCACACTAAATTCGCCAGAAGTTAAATTTTTCGGTGTCGGAATTTTAACTTGATCGTTGAATCCTAGTAAAGCAGATGTCCGTAGAACTACAAGCACAGAGCAGGGACGAAATTTCTGTTTCAAGAACATTGCGGTACGCAAGCCTCAATCTTCAAGTTGTTTGTTTTTATAATTCGTATTTTAGTTTATATTCTGTTAATTCCTATTGCATTTATTATTTATTAGCATATATAAATTATCATATTGTTGACATACATCTAACACAAACGACTACTCCGAGAACAGAACCCCATGTCGACTAATTTCGATTGAGGGTTACGAAACTCTGACGAAAGCCACCTGCAATGGTACAAAATGGGTATGCACAATCAACAATTCAAAACAAAGCGGCAGAGCCGCAACCATTGAAACTCAGGCCGGAGATTCCAAATCTGAAATCCTCAAGCGCGGGGGGGGGGGGGGGGGGTGCTACAAGTGGTGCAACATCCAGATTAGCATGCCTAAGGCTATGCAACACTAACTTATGCTCGGCGCTGCGACATATTTGGGCGCAGAGGCGCTGCGACATATTTGGGCACAGAAGGCGGCGTGACAAATTTGGGCGCAGAAGGTGCGGCAACCACAGAAAACGTCGATGAAAGTATCACAACACCGAATCAGATAAACGGAAGTGGTTCTAACCTACCAACAGTCCCAATCCAAACCCTAAACCCAAATCAAGAAGGAGACATTGAGAAGGGCATAATCCGGATCTAGGTAAGAGACACGAAGCCCTGGGACTACACAACACAAAATGTTTGGAGGGAAAAAACAGGGAGGGAGAAATGAAATCGTGTTGAAACTGAGATGGGGAAAGGGGATGGCGAAGCGGATGGGAGGAGAAGGAAAGCTGGTTGCAGAAAGGAAGGAAGGGAAAGCTAGGGGGAGATAGGATGGGCTGCCACTGGCCCCAAGCCATGGCAAGGGCCCCGCGGCTATGGGGACTGCAACTAAGGGTTTTCTCGGGAGGGAAAAAGGTTAGAGGAAAAGGCCGGACTTTCTCGGCTGCAATAATATTGTTCGGTTTTGCTTTATCTTTATATTTTTTAACTTATGTTGCTGAACAATTTGTCTTTCGGTCTTTATTATATAATGATATTTTAACGGGGAATCTTTTGAGATTCATTTTTATTTGTAAATAAGAGGGGTATTAGGTTCGATTTTCATCAAAAGAGAATTTGAATTACATTATTGTCAACTCATTGTGAGACTAATCTCATCCCCTCATCTATAGTGTAAAAAAAAAAAAAAAAAAAACAAAGGGTGAAAAAGGAATTTGGGTTATAAATCCACAATAGCAATAATAATTTCGTACGTATACAACTTATCATATATCAAAGTTGAATCTAAAATATTGAAAGGATATACTACTACATAACAAATCTTAAGATTTATGAGTGGTATCAACTGGTCTTATTGTGCCAATTTGATCGCAATTGCATGCTCAAGTTTCGCAACTATCCGACGTTGATATATGAGAGAAAATGACGACTAGGGGATATTACCTAATTTTAGTTGTTCGAATTTTATTAATTTCAAATTAAAAAGGGTTAAGGGAAAACTTAAAGTGGAGTACAAATTCAACGGAAATTTAGGCGCATAACTAGTTTATTGGTATTTTACTTCATTTATAAGGGAACCGGATCCTCTCCGAGGCAAACCTTCGGGATTCTGCTTAGCGACAAACACGGGCCGTTGGATTTTGATTCAACGGCTACAATTATTATAACTTTAAGAATGATCCCTTGTTTGTAGTCGTTGGATCGAAATCCAATGGTTTGTGTTTGGCACTCAACATGATCCTGAGGGTTTGCCTCGGAGAGGATCTAGTTCCATTTATAAGTGAGAGAGTGAGTTCGATACACATGTTTGGTGAGTATGTAGAATATTATTGAGTTATATGTCTAATTATGGTTACATTGTTTGACTTAGCCCATTGTCCACTCCTCTAAAGAGCAAATGATTGGCCATAAATAAAAAGAAGACCTGGTATTAGGGGTGCAACTCGGATAGGTTGGAAGATTAACCCAATCCTAACCCAACTTTTACAATTCGGGCTCGGATTCGGGTTGAGTTTCATTCGAGTTCATTTGGGCTCGGGTTTACTTGAGTCAGGTTCGGGTTGCCCAACTTTTTCAAGTTTAATCTTGTAACAACTTAGTTTCCAAGAATTCCTAAAAAAAATTAAGTCAAGTAGCATCAAAGCTAGCTAACTTTAATTTCATAAATCAATTTTCTATAAAGCTTTAGGATTTAGAGACTACGAATATGCTAACTAATCAAAGCCTCTTATTCCGTAAAAGCTTAAGTAATTATAAAGGGTAATTTATTAAAAAAAAAATTAGAAAGGGCATTGGTTTTAGGACTTGTCTCACTTGGGTGTAGTATGAACATTAATTGATATGGGTTATAATCTGGTTAGATTGGGTTTGATTAGTTGGGTTGGGAATTGACGGGCAAATGATTAGCCCAACTCAACCTAATCAATGAACAGGTTGAAATTGGGTTGGGTTCGGACGAGTTATAATTAAAAAAAACCCCACTTGTTTGGGTTTAAAGTGGGGTTGGACATGGGTGGGTTCGAATTGGCCCAACCCAAATTGCACCCTCACCTGGTATGAGCCTTCCCATTTTATTTACACAAAAGTCGCACTACTTTGACCTACCAACTTTGAAGCCCAAACCAAGGCTAAGACGACCATCTCACTTCTCTCTTACTTGTTTGAGGCTTCGGACATAAGTCTCTCTGAAGTGTGATTGCCACACATACGACCAGGGCCTGGTATATTGTGCCCCCTTAAATGTATACACATGTGTCATCCAACACGCTGAGGTCATTATTGAGGTCGTGCTAACCGCCTCAAGACGCAGTTAAATGCCACCTACCAGGAATTACAGTCACTGTCAACACCTAATGAATGATCTACCATGCTTCAGCTCAGCGACATGATCGAGGCTGCTCCTTCTCCCTAGCCTATAAATTAAATAGAGGCCTTCAAGCTCAAGATCTTCGTTAAATTCAATCTCTACGATTAAACAAAACCTTGAGTGATTCTTCAATCAACCCAACTATTTTTTCAGCGCAAACCCAATTGATCTTTAGCAAAACTTTCTTAGCTCTTCAGCTACAATCTCAAAGTCTTCCTTCAAAGAAAACACCACCTATGATTCCTGATATTTAAAACTTTTACAACTCTGCCACCCTATGGTATGATTCAATTGATCTGTAATTCATACCACCCTGACTTCCTATCTGAGATGCATGTTTTGTACTAAGTCATATCATACACTAGTGATCTTGGTGAATTTCTCTAGCCTTATCTTACTCTTATGGGCATGATCTTGCTAGAGTTTTACTGCTTTCCTTGTACTTTCAGTTAATTTATATTTTAAGTTATGTAGTTCGACCCATCTGCTTAAATTTTACTTTTGTGAACGTTTGTTATGAATTTCTCGTTCTAGTTTCTATTTCGCTTTCATTTACTTTTTAAGCAAGCATACACAAAGTTACACTAAATTTTAAGTCCTCGTTCGCTTGAGACACATAAAGAATTTAACTAAACCAACATCCCATTCAGTGCTTAATCATTTAGTTAAGAAGTTAGATTAACGCACAACTTACACACACACACACTCAAACAAAATATTGTTTGTTGGCAGCTCCAATAATGGCATGTATATTCTCTCATTCTCTCTAGCTATCCCGCAGCATTGAGACAAAAAGCAACACAGCAAAAACGTGTTGAACCTCCTGCTTCATCCGAGTTTTGGCACCCCCAGAAAATCCTCTCCTTTTAGATTACCATGACCATCATTTTTCCAATTGCTGCCTCTAATTTTCCCACCTTCTAGAATGCCATTAAATTGGACCCCAAAACAAAAAGGTGATGTGATCAAAAGTCTTAGTTTCCGTTTCTTTTATTGACTTTGCTCTATTCCAATCGAATGCATCCAATATACGTAACACGCTTTGGCGTATATACCTACAGATAACCAACCTCAACGCCAAGTCGTCTCTCCATAAACAAAAGATCACAGGGGTTCATCGACATCCAATATTTCTCCGATCATGAAAGAAGCAGAAGCTGGCGAACGATTATTAGCATACGCTGATCCATCTCCATCAGCGTTTACTAATCGCGAGCTAACAGCGTCCGATAATCCAGCTGCTGCGATCATCAGCCCTCACTTCTGTAGTTCCCATTCTATGGATCTTGCAATTGTCAGAAAAGTTTTAACGATACGTGAGGGCAACTTTGTAGTCACCGATATCACTGGTAACATGATTTTTAAAGTACGAGGATCTCTTTTATTCAGCCTTCATGACCGCCGAATCTTGCTTGACACTGCCGGGTATCCTATTATTACTCTAAGAAAAAAGGTATGGCCTTCTATTAAGAGGTAATTTGTTATACCATACATGTCCTAGATTCGCAAATCAAATCCATAAATATTTGCTTCTCGATTTATATGATGTATAGATTACTTGTTCAGAGTAAATCTTACATTGGAAAAATTAGAGGTCTTGCATGTGCTTATAAATACTTGAGTTACTTCCTATATTACCAATTGATTTCACGATAGAACCAACTTTTGTCATGTTATCAGAGCGAATTGTCCCTCGTGTGAAGCACAACCGCCACACGTACTCCACATCTTGCTATTTGTGTTGTGCTTGTAATTCGCCACATAAGGAGACGTGTTTAGAGTGAATCTCACATCTCAACCTTATTTGCTTATATGCAATTGGACTACTCTCTATATTACTAATTAGTTTTATAGTGAAACCATAACTTTCCTCGTTAGCGAAGAATCTGAACGAGAAGATGTCGAAAGTTTGTTCTTTTTACTGAAGTCGACTTACTGATTCATAAGTTTTATGGTGTATATATAGTTGACGAGTGCACACGACAGATGGCAAGTTTATAGAGGGGATAGCAAAGAAACCAGGGATCTCATCTTCAGTGCTAAGAAATCTTCAGTCGTCCAATTTAAGACCACATTGGATGTTTTCTTAGCACATAACATTACAGAGGATGCACCAGACTTCAAGGTCAAAGGAAGTTGGCATGAACAATCCTGCTTCATATACGGGGGAAACTCCTCCACCATCGTCGCCCAAGTAATTAAGATTAATTTCATTAATTTTTATTATAATACGTTAGTATTTTAATTAATGCAATGTTAATTTGGCAATCATATACTTAATTAATTATTTTATGCAATCACTTTGTAGATGCATAAGAAGCACACAGTTAAAAGCGTGCTGTTTGGGAAGGACAATTTCGTGGTGACAGTGTATCCTGGGATTGACCAAGCATTCATCGTCGCGCTTATTGTGATTCTTGATGAGATTAACTGGTAATCAAAATTGAGGTGATAATTAATTTGGATCTACTTCTTATGTTAATTATGAACAATGCATCTTTGTCTTTTGTTTTTTTTTTTTTTTTCGGTGAGAGAAAGTTTATGGAGAGGGAACGCTACTCCATCTCAGAACTAAAATGTACTATAAGCCTTTTTAAGGATTTACAAAGTGGTTTTAGGTCATTTTATTATTTTTACAAAATGTCCACCAACAGAAATTGCTGGCAGTTTAAATCTTGATCTAGAGAAGGGAATGATCTTTCTGTACCAACTCAACCAACTCTCATAGCCATTGCACCCTCGTTGGCAACAATACTTTGGTTTATGTATACATAGTCTATCACAGTTTTTGTTTTTTTACTAACCAGTTGCGGTTTTTCAATTTTCAATTAGGGCGCCTTACTTTCATCCAGCGTTTTCAAATTTATTTGGCTTCTCAAATTGCCATTATTTATGAAATCTAGCTCTTTTAAATTTCTTTCTTCTAATGGTGTGAGAGGTTAGTGGCTAAAACATATTAAGTGACTAGTTTTCATTAGCTACCAGCTCCTTCCTAAGTTAACACTTTCTGTAAGCAAGAGTCGAGGCAAAACTAGCCCCTTAAAGAGCCCTGACATATTTTAGCCTAAGTTAAATATGTCATATTAGAAATTGAATTTTGTCATTTGGAGCTAAATAACGCTCTTTTCTAAGTTACTTTGGATGGGTAGAGGATTTTTTAGCAGGTTAGGAATTTTTGCCGTTTTGAAATTGAATTTTGGTAACATATAATTGCAAACTGTATTTGCTTGCTGGGTTTTCCTTTAAAACTTAAAACACCAACTCATATTATCAAAAATAAAAAAAAAATAAAAAACTAACGTGATGGTCTGAAGAAGAAGATAACAATGTGACACTGACACCTAGACCTGTAAACGGGTCGGGTTTATTGGGTTTGGATCAGGGTTCACCCAACCCATTAAGTTAACGGGTCATCCGAACCCAACTTATTAAACTCATTGATCACCTGTTAACACCCATTAACATTTTTTTTTGTTTAATTTTGCATTCCAATTCAAATTCAAAAATCCATCCATTTCAAAAATCCAACATGCAATGCCAATATGCAAAACCAATGGAATCAATCCATTTTGACAGTTACCTCTATTATCCATCCTTTTCGTTGTTTGACAAAGGCGTGCCATGACCTTCTTCTTCAAGTCCGAGACAGAGAAGCACTTGAAGGAAAGATCCCGATCCAGCAAGCCAGAGGACGAGTTGCCGCTGTTGGAGGAGAGAAGCTTGACTACCTCTCGAGAAAGCGGCTGAGACGAAGTGTCAGAGCCACCGGAGGAGTAGGAAGAGTCATCTGTTGCCATTTTGAGCCGGGAATGTAGTCCTGGAGCATATCGGCGACCTCTTTGAAGTGGCAGATATAGGCTTTGAGTTTGAGGGCTTCCTATTATAAGTATTGAAATTACACAAAAACCCTCAATAACGGGTGTTAACGGGTTTTGCAGATTGACCCAAAATGACCTGTTATTTAATGGGTGATTAATAGGTTGACCCGTTAACAACCCGACCCGTTAAATACTCACCTGAATACTAATTTTAACGGGTCGGGTGTAAAATGCCAGGTCTACTGACACCCCATTTTTACAATAAACCAGTGACGTTGTATGTAATATTTAAGAAATTTAATTAAAATCTGCTAATTACATCCTAATACTAGATTCAATGCTATTTTATTATTTTATTATAAAAACTTGGATAGTTAATTCGACGTTAGATTCACAACATATATATAACGTTAAGAACTTACCAGTGAGACATAAGTCTCTAAAATGTGTGACTTTAATTTATGAAAAATTAGATAAAATAGTTTATGGTGACAAGTCACGGTTATCCACTATTTCTAGGCTCGGGAAACTACTGCAGAATTTCACCTTAACCAGGGAAATTTCACCTTACTAGTGGCCATAGTCAAGCAGATTCAATCAAATTCACCAGAGTGTGCAAGTCATGGAGGTCTCTGATCCGAAGCCCTAAATTCATTCACACCTACCTATCCCTTTCAATCGTCCAACCAAACAGCCAGAACGACGGCGGTCAAATCCTCCTCCTACAGAGTTCAGACGAGGGATGGCACGGTAGGCACCCCTTCGAATTCGACCAGTAAGTATTTCAACCTTATGAACCCTGCCCAAAATAATACACTAGGGCCAAAATAAATATACCCGACCCAGAATGGGTGCCATCCTCCTTTCCGCTTTACATGTAAAAGGTGTCCTTCCTCAGTTCTTCTTGTTGGAAGGTGTACATATATATACAAACACACGTATATATACATATATTCCTACGCACGAGCAACGGGTAATCATCTTTCAACCAAGCCAAAAGTGCCCAAAATAGGTAACAATTCAAAACTTATCTCATCAAATCCCTTCTATAAGGTAACTCCCAAAACCTATTTCATTACATATATTCTTTACCTCATTTTCCCTTTTTTAACTAATCAATTAGCTATTTATTTTATTCATCCCATAACCTCCAAAACATTCCTTCTAAAAATATGTTAATTGGCTAATTAATGGATTTATTACCTAATTAATTCATTAATTGCCAATTAAATCACCCATTAACCACAAAATACATTCAAAAACATCCTAAAGGGCCGGCCACCTTTTCTCCAAGGGGGACCGGCCATACCCTATATATACTACCCCATTTTCTCTAAAAACCTAAGTCCATACTCTTGCAAAAACTCCAAAAACTCTCTAAACACTTTTTTCTCTAAATTCTAACTTTGGCATCGGAGGTTCTTCGGCCAAAGCCCTCTATTCATCGTGGGCGCGTGAGGCTCTTGGCCTTGACCCTAAGGTGTTAATTGTTTTGTAGATGCAATTTTGTCAAAGAAGAAGGAGACGGAAATTTGCATCCACAAATTGGTGCTTTCATTGAGAAAAGAGTCACACACTTGTAGAAGACTCCTGCATCAAAAGGTTTTTCTATTTTCTTGTCCATTTATAGATTTTTCGTACATTCTTATTATTCGAATTTTTTATTTGCAAAGATTCTTTGATAAAACGTAAAAGAGAGATACAATGGCTAGAAATTTAGAAAATTCCACAAGTGAAAATTCCAATATTCAAGAAATGGGTCCATGGTGATCCACGAGGCTAAATGTGATCATAAGAGTAGCACCATCGTTATGGGGTTCCACCATGGCAACCACCGTGGTGGTCACCACAGTCACCATTACGCACGGCGAGGTCCATGGCATCGCTACCACGGCCTGATCCGTACCATCCAAGCTTGGACGGGCCCAAGCCTAAGCCCAAGCCGTGACATCCAAAGCCCATGGCACCAAAGCCACGACCCAAGCCTCGCACTCGCATGCATCACGCATCGAGCAGCCTGCTCACGTGGCCAACCCTACTTTCATGACCCAGCCTGCTCTCGTGGCCTCCCAAACAACCCAAGTCGGCTTGAGATTATTGCAACCATCAAAACCTACCATCGAGCCGGGGACATTTTCACCATATTTCTCCACGGATTTGACATTTCCCAACTCAAATCTCGTGCCTGAAGTCTACCACATTTCCATTGCTCAAAGAGGCACATTCTTTCCAAACACTTCCAATTCAAATGGCGAACAACACTTGTCCCGTCAAGTCATAGAGTTGACTAACACCCTTGCACAACAAACGACCTTGGTGAATCAGCTCCTACAACGCACTGAAACCCAACGTGCCCCAGACAAGGTGTCCCACACTAGGACAAGGGCAGACGACGAGCCTCTTCAGAAGCGTTTTGGCAAGCAGCCACTCGACCAACCACGAAACGAGCATTCGGGTAGCGTATATTCCTGATTAGGCCCATGAGATAGCGTATACTTCCATCTTAGCATGCGGAGGAGCGTGCATTCTCGACTAGGCCCACGTTCTGATAATCGACATGGGCAGCCTTCTAGGCAAAGCGTTCATTCGCGGCTAGGCCCGCAAGGAGCATTCTCCACATCACATCGGAGCATGCAGCACGACGGATAGAGAGAAATAGTCACTCAATCTAGATCAAGTTCAACCGTCAGCCTGTAAAGAATTCCCTTGCCTGTTAGGGATGGACCACATGCACCACCACTGCGGCATGAACAAGCCAAGAGCATAGAAGAGCAGCCTAGACCAGCAGGTCAAGACTGGGGGCAGCCAAGAGCTCCACTACCCCAGTAAAGGCAAATCCAAGAAGAGGTAGAGAGACTCTTCAACAAACGATTGCGTGATTTTCAACACAATGAAATGGCCGATAAGGCACTACAGCGATATATGACCAATATAAGTAGATCACATTTCACAGATGAGATCGAGCAGGCAAAGCCTCCACGTAAGTTTAGCATGCCACATTTTACATCTTTCAAAGGAGATGAATATCCGGAGAGGCACTTGAAGCATTATCGAAGCACGATGATCCTTTATCGAAGCAACGATGCCCTTATGTGCAAAATCTTCTCCACTACTTTACAAGGCGAAGTGCAAGATTGGTTTCATACCTTGCCACCACGATCTATTCGAAGTTTTGATGATCTTTCCTTGGTTTTCACTAAAGAATACTCATCATACCGCTCGATCAAGAAAAAGTCTGACTACTTGTTCAACGTGAAGAAAAACCCAAATGAGTCATTCCGTGACTACGTGAAAAGGTTCAAAGCGGAGAAAACGAAGATCGTCGAATGCGACGACTTGATAGCAAGTGCAACTTTCCAAAAAGAACTCCCAGCAAACCACCCATTGTTCGGAGAAATGATCATGCAAGAAGATATAACTCTAGCAGACTTATTTGCTCTAGTAGAAAAGCATGCACTTTGGGGCGAGGCTCGGCTAGCAAAGAAAGCACCCGAGCAGCCTCGAAAAGAGTCGGTAGTGGCTCAAAGGAAGAAGGACGGGAAACATTCCAACAAAAGCAGGTAGGAGGCCAAGCGTAAGGACCGACCCACGAACAATGAAAGCCTAATGACCAAGAACTATTTTAAGTTCTAAATTTCAATCCACCAAATTCTTCGCGACATCAAGAACGAGCCATGGTTCAAACTGCCGAAACAATCAAAAGGGGATACTTCTAAGTTGGATCACACCAAGTATTGCGCATTTCACCGAGGTCCTGGTCACACACATGGAAGAACTACCTAGAAAAATTTGTGAAAAAAGGCAAGGTTGACAGATACTTAAACAAGCCAGTTGCGCAGACTGGAAGGAACGCAGACAACGATGAGGAGCCACCAACCAAGATGATTCAAATTAATGGCATCTTCGCCGAATCAGAGCACTTGGGGGCTACCAACAATTCAAAAAAAAAGAAGATTCAATAGGCTCTACTAGTCTCACAGGTCCAAGCAGCCGACATCCAACCTGGACCTATCATTAGCTTCACCGAGTAGGATACAGAAGGCGTTGACTTTCCACATGACGACGCACTAGTAGTATCTGTCCAACTAGCCCATGCTATAGTTGACAGAATGATGGTCGACAATGGAAGTGCAGTCAACCTACTTCAACTTTCAGTTATACAGAATATGGGCCTAGAAAGCACAATCATATGCCGAGCAGAGATACTCACCGAATTCAACGGGCATACCTCAACTGTCATCGGCCATATCACACTTGACGTGACAACATCTCCAGTTGTCTCAAAGCAGACGTTCTCGATCATAAGTGATCCATCTCCCTATATTTCCATATAATAGGATTCTTGGGAGACCTTAGTTGATCAAGCTCGACGCCGTCACTTCCGTCAAGTACCAAAAAATCTGATTTCGTATCCCGAGATGAGGAGTTGGAGAAATCAAGTCTGACCAGGTCGCATCCCGACGATGCACTATGCAAGATTGAAGGAATCAAAGAAGAAGACCTTTACTCTTGTAGAGGCTACTGAGATCCAAAGGGATGAAGAAGCTACCAAATAGCAATTACAGCAAGCGGATAGAGAAGATGGCGCCCAAACAAACGAGATAGGATGGAAACCCGAAGAGGATGCCAATGACATCATTTTTTATCCCCAACAGCCGGAAAGGACAGCTAAAATCGAATCACGTCTAAACATAGCCGAAAAGGAAGAACTCACGGCTTTCCTTAGGGAAAACCGAGATGTTTTTGCATGGTCACCGTCTGACATGCCTGGTATCAATCTTGAGGTAGCCTGCCACAAGCTGCACGTCGATCCCACTGCCAAACCGGTGATCTAAAAGAGAAGACATTTCGCACCCAAAAGAGTGGCGATCAGTGAGGCAGAAATTGACAAGCTATTGAAGGCCGGATTCATATAAGAGGTAGCACATTCAGCATGGCTTGCTAACGTCGTGCTAGTCATGAAAAAAGAGAAGGGCAAATGGAAGGTTTGCGTAGATTACACTGACCTCCACAAGGCATGCCCAAATGATCTTTATCCTGTCCCTCGGATCGATTTATTAGTAAATTCAACTTCTGGGAACCAGTTGCTCAGTTTCTTGGATGCATACTCAGGTTATAACTAAATAGCCATGTATGAACTCGATAAGGAGAAAACCGCGTTCGTAATCAAGCGAGGTACTTACTGCTACAAAGTTATGCCCTTTGGCCTCAAGAACGCGAGAGCCACTTACCAAAGGTTAGTAAACATGATGTTCAAGAAGCAAATTGGGGTAACTATGGAGGTCTATGTTGACAACATAATGGTAAAGCGCAAGCAGCGGTCAGATCATATCCGCAACTTGGAAGAAACTTTCAGCATCCTCAGAAAGTACAAGATGAAGCTCAACCCCACCAAATGCACATTTGGGGTATCTTCAGGCCGATTCCTAGGGTACTTAGTAACTCAACGAGGAATAGAAGCACATCCCAAGCAAATCCGAGCGATCCTAGAGATGACCTTGAAGGGGATCCAAAGCTTGACCGGATGAGTGGCATCCCTCAACCGTTTCCTCTCGCGGTCCACCGATCGATGTAAGCCCTTTTTCAAAGCCATCAAGAGGGCACAACAAGACAAATGGGATGAAGAGTACGAAAGAGCCTTCCAAGATCTGAATAAGTATCTCACATCACCTCTCTTACTATCCAAGTCGGAAGAAGCAGAGGATTTATACATTTACCTAGCAATCTCCGAAGTAGCAGTGAGCTCTACCCTCATACGAGAAAAGTTGGGGGCCCAACTGCTAGTATTCTACACTTCTAAAGCTCTTCTCGATGTGGAAACAAGATATTCGAAGATCGAAGGCTCGGAAGCTCAGACTATACTTTCAAACTCATACAGTCGTTCTTATGACTCAGTATCCTCTACAATCAATCTTACATAGTCCGGACACTTCTCAACGAGTGATGAAGTGGACGTTGGAGCTTGGCCAATATGATTTAGTTTTCCGACCCCGCACGGCAATAAAGGCCCAAGCCTTGGCAGACTTCATAGCGGAATTCACTCCTAGACTAGGTGATGCAACAGAATGGCCCAAGAATGCCCCAGAAGCAACCGAGCACACCTTATTAGCGCATGCTCCATCTAATGGAGACTTATGGCATTTGCATGTCGATGGAGCATCTAACTATAAAGGCTCAGGAGCAGGCGTGGTCCTTGTCACCCCAGACGATTCAATGGTAGAACAGGCGATCATTCTAGGCTTCAAAGCATCCAATAACGAAGCAGAATACGAGGCTTTACTGGCAGGGCTCTGAATGGTAAAAGACTTGGCAGTGAAGAAGCTTGCATTTCATTCCGATTCCCAATTAATCACCAGCCAGACTACTAGGGAATACACGGCAAAACATCCGAGGATGACGCAATACCTAGAGAAGGTACACAAGCAGCGTGAGGTATTTCAAACTTACACTCTCACTCAAGTCCTTCGGGCAAACAACGTTTACACAGATGCGTTAGCTGGCCTAGGCTCCACCCTTGACCATCAATTCAAACGCTTTATTTCGGTGGAATATCTAGACAAGCCAAGCATAAAGGCGGAGCTAACGACCCTAGAAGTTCAGAGTAAAGCTTGATCTTCGTACAATGATGAACATGGTATGGTTTCAAACCATTACACTAAAAATTACAAGGCTGAACAGCTAGGCTGCAAGCAAGAGACTAAGTTCACCTTCGTCGAAAAGTACGCGGATGAGTAACTAGAGTTTTTTGCCGAGCACCAGACCCAGGTGAAGTTCAAGGAATCTGTTTATCCAAACAAGACTGGATATTCATCATCCAAATCCAACTACAACAACAACAAGAATTGCAACTCCTTTTGGAAATTGATGAGAATAACGTCTGCTACTGAGGAGTTTCCCAAGAAAAGCAATTAATGTAAACAAAGTCAACACTTGAAGAATTTGGTGTAAGGTTGATGGTCAAAGGTTAAGGAACTTGACTTCATCACTAAAGAAATCAAGAAGGTTATCGATAGAATAATCGCCAAGGACTTGTTCTAAAGATTTACACGAACTTCTCCAGTGGTAATGAATCTAAGAAAATTGCTTCGATCCCACCAATCACCACTTATTAGACTTCGTAAAAATTAGCGTTTGCTGCTTTCTCTAACACGCACTCTGAATATTTCGAGCAATTTCCAAGAGATATGACTCTGCCCGTCATTTTCAGGGAATGCATGTCGTAGAGTATCGTCTTATGTTGAAAGTTGTCCAACAATCCTCTTCATCACTATTGAGGCACAATCCCGACACGAATTCTTAACTTTCAACAAGAAGGTGACAATTCAAACAGAGAAAGGTTTGCACAATTACGCCGAATGGCACCAAACCTAGAAGTCCTGACATCCAAATGATGTCAAAACCGACACTTTACGAGAATAGAAGAGAATCCTAAGTATGCTCTGAACAAACCACGCTCTGATACCAATCTAACACGCCCCGACCTTGATATTCCACGAATACCAGGATAGACATGTGCTGGTCGACACCCAAGGGTGATGAAAACCATTAATTGATACAAAAGCTAAGAATAAGAAGTAAATAAGGGTTATGAGTTAGCATACAACTAAACCTAATCACCAAAAAGAATTAAATAAAATTGAATGAATAAAGAAGTGGGTCCTACATCGAGAGGATTCAAAGATGCTGCTGCGGAAATGTCTTGACGCCGAGATAAGGGGCCTTGATCATAAGTCTTGAATGAGGGCGCAAAACAAATGTGAGTGGACCAAGTTCATATATATATAATAATAATAATAATAATAATAATAATAATAATAATAATAAAACAGTTATCAATGTACTAACCTCTACGGTTTATATAATGAAAACTACTAGCATAATAAGTGAAGGATTTAATAAAAATCCTAGCATGCCAAAAATATCTCAAAAGTCATATCGCGGAACAACATCGCGGAAATCAAAACAGTAAACGTATCATAGATCATCTCGTAAGCGTGGTGTAATGCTAGAAAGATCACTGAATAAATATAACTCCCGGCCCAATGCCTGCTCCGTGGTCTCTGCGCCCGTAGCCAAAGATTACCAACTCCCAGCCCAATACCTGCTCCATGTCCCTCAGCTCGTGGCTAAGGATTATTTCTCCCGGCCTAAATGCCAACACCAGATCCTCGCCCCAGGCGGCATAGTGTCCTCTAGGTACGCACAAATAGTTACGCCTCTCATAAATAACCACTTCATAGTATAAAGTCATCCATCCTCTATACTATAAAGAGGGGTTTCGAAAACATGTTCTAGCATCCTATCGTCATCCATCGGATAGTCTACCAGTTCATGGTTTTTATAGAAATACGATATATCAAAATATAGCTCAATATAGGCTAACAATTTATTCCTCACAAAAACACAAGACGAAACCAATATATTTAGTAAACAGGCTTGATATAAATCAAATCATAAATTCGTAGGCATGCTAATCATTTATGCAATTAAACTATAAAATCATGTAATTTTAAAAGGGATCCACTCACAGTACTTAGTTGCCAAAAGCTGTGCCACTAGCGAAG